GGGGGGAATTTTCAGGGAGCTGGAGGAAAGGCCCGTCCCCGACACAGAGGCGCCCCAATTCCAATCGCTGCTCCCGGCCGGGGGGCTAGGGCACCTGGCTCAGAACGGGAGCTGTTACCTGAGCAAACAGCCTGGCTTGCCCATGGCTCGGTCTCACAAAGAGCTGGGCCATTTGGGCGGAAATTTTCCCGAAAAGTTCAGGCCGAGCCAGCCCCCTGGCACGGGAGATTTAAGCCCGAGCAGTCACCGCCTGGCAAAGTTCAAAGCAATTGAAAATAGGGTCTGAGCAGCACCCGCAGTGCCAGGCGGCGCTACCAGCCCATCATGCCCCCTTCACATACACCTCGGTTACTGAGGTGGCCTGCCCGGGGCTGCGGAGAGACGCCACAGCCGAGCTTACCTTCTCCTCCCGAAGCAAACGCGCAGCCATCCGAAGAGAAACCTGTCTGGGTTTGCTCGCAGCGCGCTCTGATCGCCTCTGCAGGAGCCGCGCTGATAGATGCGTTCTGCGGATCAGGCGCTGCGCTGCACCGCCTCCGGGGCTGACACGGGGGGCGTGATCCGGGCCCCTCCCAGGGAGATGAACAGGGCTGTGTCTCCCTGCCTTGGCTTGGCTGGCTCCGGCTCCCCAGCCTGAGAATGTTCAGCTCTCTGTGCCCTGGGCTTGCAGCCACCCCCGCAGCGTGTATTAGGGCTGTTGTTTTCCTACGACATTAACAGATCAGGGTCCAGCCCTGCAGCTTGCTCCTAAGGAGGCGGCTGGAGAATTGCTCGTGATGCCTTCGCACCTGCAGAGTCGCTCCTCGCCTTCGGCTGGGGGAGGGGGTCTTCAGCTGCCCGCCCACCTCCCGGATCTCAATAGGTGGAATAGCTCACTCCTGTCAATTACCATGGTCTTGTCTAAAAATGTGATGTAATTAGTGTCTAAGTAAAGGGTGTTCACCAGATAATTGTGTAGGGAATTGCAAAGGGTCACCCCTGTGTCAGTACTATGGCTAATGCTATGTTGTCTACCTTTCAGGACCCAACTTGATGCTCACTTAAGTTAATAGGGTTCTTTCCATTGACTTGAATGGTCATTGGATCAGGTCCATAATGCAGCATTCATTCTCTTTCTGTACATATTAGCTGAAAAAGAAGAACTCTGCCATTGAATTGTCTAGGTTTTCGGGTCTATGAATCATTCAGAAGGTGATATGTTTTAGGAATGTTGTTTCAGCACTGATAGCTTATGATGAGGTATCAAGGTTACATTAGTAAAAGTATATGACCTCTCCAAAAGAAAGCTGTCAGTACACATATTTTAATTGACTTCAGTGAGCATTGAAGAGATTTACAATGAAATTTTGAGTCTGGTTTGTTTTCCGAAGTCAAGAAACAACACTGCAGATCATAGGCCAAATCCTCAGCTGATATAAACTGATGTGGCTCCATTGACTTCAACTGAGCTATGTTGATTACACCAGTTCAGAATCTGGTCCCATAATCATCTGTATTTTAAACAAACCAGATTAGTGTACTGCAGAGGTTCTCAAACTGTGGTCCACAGACCACCAGTGGTCCGCAAGCTCCATTCAGGTGGTCCACAGATAGTTCCCCCTAAGGTGCGCGCCTGGGCGGCCGCACACAAGAAAATGAAGGGCCACCCTCCTAATTAGTGGAGCCACGCAGATGTGGCTCCACTAATTAGGTGTCTGGACCCTGGAGAAGACGCACATGTAAGGTGAAGTGGTGGCCTTGGGGGGAATAGGAGGTAGGTGGGAGGGGGCAGTGGGGTGAGAAGAGGGGGTGCGGGGAATTAGGGATGTGCAGGGCTGCAGCGGCCAGAGAAAGGTGACTTTCCCCAGTTCCAGGAACGGCCCTCCTTCCCAGCCTCAGCTCTCTGGCTGTTGTGGTGGGGAAGAGATGCCCCCCTGCCCCCTCATCCTTCCCAGCCCCAGCTCAGGGGCTGCTGCGGCAGGGGAGAGAGGGCACATCCATGGCATTAGAAAGGTAAGACTACTGATATTAAAATATGAGTTGTGTGCTTTTACTTTTTTTATATAGCGCTTTTATCCAAAGCGCTTTACAATAGTTAGCTAATGGTACAAACAACATTTGGAAAGATCATTAACTGGTCTGCCGAGACTCCCAGCAATTTTCAAGTGGTCCGTGGAAAAAAATAGTTTGAGAACCACTGGTCTGCTGTATATAAGAGGGATTTTCAGAACAGTATGTAAGAGCAGGGTCATGATAATTATTGTGAGGCTGCAGGTGATTGAGCAAACTGTAAATCAGTACCACAGCCCTATTGATTTGGTCATAGCTGAGGTGAATTTGGGGTCAGGAGTTCCATATGAGTTTGTGATAAATGGTTGAGCAATAAGATATTAAATCTGGAATTAATTAATTAAATATTTGCTTAACATGGACAAAAGTTGAAATTCTTTCTCTTATTCACATGAAATTATAAAAAGTGCAGAGGCATCCTTCTGGCTGGAGGACATGTGGTGCCACTTAAGCCCCTCTGTGCCACTGATTCTTGGCTTGTCCTAGGTTCAGTTGCGCAGGTCTGGCTGCAGCTTCCATCTCAGCCATGTCACCAACACAGGCTGGGGGGGCTCTCCCTACCCGGTGTGATCTCCTGGTGTTATGCGGCGGAAACAGCAGTCACTGAAATGTGATAACATTCCTGCTAACCCTTCCAGGGTGCTGGGGCTCACAGTTCCAGATTTTCAAACGTGCTCAGCACCCAGCAGCTACCTCTCTTCTGAGGGGGGCTCTCCCTTCCTGGAGGGAGGGGGGGGGAGATATTGGGTGTAGAATCGGAAAACTTGGGGGAGGGGACTTCTACTGAAAAATGTTAACTTTTTGTCAACCCCTGCCCCCCTCCCCAACCAAAACTTTTGAAAATTTTTGGCTGAAAATTTCATTTTTTTTCCAAAGAAATCTCATACTTGTCCTCAGAAAGCAGATACTTTTTTGCTCCTCTGGTTTTACATTGAAAGGTGACCAGCAAAAGGGGAAAGAATTGGACCTGTGTCCTTTTACCTTTCATTGTGATGGGGGACAAGACCTGAGAGAAGAGTGTGATGGTTTTTTTTAATGAAAATTTCTGATCTCCTCTAGCCTGGAACACTCTGTGGTGCATGGAGAACTAGTGAAATTGTGACATCCCAGGAGGCAAGAGAGCGAAAGCTGAGCTGGGGGGAGGGGAAGAGACTTTTAATCAGGGTCTTTAAAACTCTTTGTTAATTTTTTGTTAACAACTTTGATGGCTAATGAACACTAGGAAGAAAAGAGTTCTTTGTTAAAGATTAAACAGCCTCACCCCTTATGAGGTGTCAGCGCTCACAACAAACATCTAAAAACTCTCATAAGTCCTTGTGGAAAAGCAAGGAGATCTGACTTGACCTTTGTGGTATTTTTAAGGTAAAAATAAGAAGGAAATGCCTTCTGTTCTATCCTATCTATCTATGCTATGCCCAGCTATTTCCACGGCATTTTCATGCCCTTTGTATCTCTGACCCTTGCTACCTACAGGCAGTTTAGAGTTTATTGGCTATCTGCTTTTTAGGGATTGATTTCTTTGCACAGTTATGCACTGTATATAGCCTATTCCTAGTGCCTTGTTACATAGGTGGGGAAACTGAGTCACAGAGAGGTGAAGTGATTTGCCCGAGGCTGCACAGTGAGTCAGTGGCAGAACTGGCCTCAGAGCCCAGAAGTTCCTGGCTTCCTGTCTGTTTCATGCACTACTCAATACTCTCACTCAATAAACTGTCCCTTCCACGAGCAATAGATACCTATCCACACACCATGAATGTATCTCCATGGACATAGATGCACATCCACTAGTATGGCCAACTCACCCATTCACACATCATGAGCCAGGTCCCACAAAAGCATGAGCTTATTAAACACAATACAATGCTGGGGGCTTTTCATGGGCTTTCTGGGTTTTGAGTCTTTGGAGTGGACTCGGGTCCCATTTTCCAGATTTTATCTGCAGCCACGAGGGTTAGAAACTGACTTTTTAATGAGAGCTGAGATTCTCCAGGATCTCCTGACTCCAGGTGCTGGGGCTTTAAGAGAAACACCAAATATCATGAGACTTCCTATCAAATCGCAGGAGTTGGCAAAACAGCTCCTGCCACTCTCTCCAATACCACATGTGTGCTTCCCCACTAGACAGAACAAACAGCTGCCCTATTAACACCCTGGGTCCCATAGATCCATTGGGCTCCCATGAGCCAACTTCTCTCTGGCAACGTGGCTGCACTGGAGTTGTGTTACTAGGGCTTCCCCAGTGGACACTGTCCCCAGGGACCACCCTTAATGGAAGCTCCCCGAGCAGAAGCTGCCTGTGAGGGGCTTTGCAGGGCTAGTGCGGGGGCAGGAGCTGGTTCCTGTCTCCCCCAGCCTGCCCACTCCTCTGCAGGATCCCAAGGCCGCAGACTGGCTTGGGATGCAGCCCAAGGCTCTACAGTTCTCTGGCAGAGAGCTGCCAGGTTTGCAGCTAGATAAGGGATGACTTAGAGTGGATGAAATCATCAGTCCCACATTGCAGGGCCCTGGGGGAGTAGCTCTGACCCAGCTGCCAGGCTGTCCCTAGCCAATGTGCCCGATGTGGCTAAAGTTCCCACGATCCACCCTGCTATCTTAACAGCACCTATAATGTGCAGCGCTAACAGGCGGGTTATCAGAAAGTACCTTTATGTCTCTGCTTTCCCCTGGCTCATTCCAGTCCCCGCTGCCTGACTCCCTTCCAAGCCTCCCGCCCCCACTGGCCCCGCTCCCAGCCCCGTTCTGGGAGCAGAAATAACCCAGCCATCGTGGACAAGCACAGCTCTACAATGGGTGGCATTGTTGACACTGCATTTCTGCTCTCATTAAGGATGACCTCACAACCCACCCTTGGCTGCTTCGCCCAGCTCCGCAGAGCAGCGAGGCTGTCTTTTGACTTGGGCACATGAATCCAAGGAGGAACAGTGCGCTCATTGTAGAGCCTGGCTCTGTCCCTCTGTCCGGTGTCTTTCTACCCCCAGCACGCACATCAGGATGCTGCCAAGGGCCCAGCGTGCTGGGCAACCACCAGCAGCCGCCTTTGGCCTTCACTGGGAACCAGCATTGCATTGACTGCTCCCGGGCAGGGTCCTGGAGCTCTGGGAAGATGCTCACAGGGTGGAGAGCGACCCCCCCAGCCGGGGGCCAGGCAGGGCAGGGCAGGGAGCAGCCCAACACACGCCAAACTATCTCTTAAAGCGGCATCTGCCCCTGTTGTCTGGCTGAGCAGCACATCCCTCCATGTGGGCCCATAGATTTCAAGGGGGCTAAACACAACTCCAGGAAGGGGGAGGCAGAAGGGGGCTCCAAGCGACTAGGAGCACAGGAGCTGCCTGGGTGGATCGGAGCCGGGGGTCCATCTCATCCAGTATCCTGCCACCACAAGTGGCCAGTGCCAGCTGCTCTAGAGGAAGGGGCAAGACTCCCCGTAGAGCCCGATTATGGGGCAATCTGCTCCCAGGGACGGCGCCTGAGCACATTTCCACCAGCCTCGTCCCAGCCCCCCGGTTCT